TAAATCTGTCGTGCTTTTAGATCTCTCTGTCTACCTCTCACTACTATTATATCTTAAACCTTCTCTCTCTCTATTCTTTCCAAATATCTTTCCATATGTATGACCAGATGCTCGCAACCCTAGCATTTCCTTCAAACATTTTATGACAAATCTTTCCTAAATTCTCTATCACAGATATACACAAGGTGAGTTATAATAAATATTTTGTATACAAACATATATGTAAATATTAATATAATTAAGATCATTTCTTTAAAATATTTTTCCATTACAAAACTATATAAATAATTAATATTATCAATACTTTTTTATTCGTATGGATAAGATGAAATTTTTTTTTACATATAAATAAAAAGAAATTACATAATTTTTCTTTCCCAAATGTCGTTCTATATTAGCAAATAATATAATTAGTATTGCAAATATTTGTATTAATATTGTTTAAACTTTAGATATAATATAATAAGATGTTATATTGGACTAGAATCATCTTTCAAATGTGTAATATATGTGAATACAATTTTCTTACAAAATACGATCGTCTGAATGTTTGCCTAGAAAATCGAAAAAGAAAATAGAGATTTGTAAATCCTCTTTAGATGTTAGCCTTAGGTTATTGGAAGAGCACGTAGTCAAGTATTACCTTTCTACTAGTGGTACATAACTACGTACAGTTCGAATAAGATTTTCGGCTTCTGTTTACGGAAGAGCTTGGTATTTTGAAGCCATATAAATTATGGTTCGAAACTAGTTTAATTGCTATAGATGGAAAGAAATAGGGGGTTGAGGAAGGGGGAAGTTGAAGAGAATCTTTCACGTTAAGACGGTAAAGTAGGTAAAACTTTTGAAAAAGTCCTTTACCTTCTTGAAACGTGTTAGTCGTTTCTTTTCCAAAAGAAAATCGAAGAAGATCTTACTTTGCGAAACCAGTCCTCCTTATCTTTTTCATTTTTTTTCTTTTTCTAACGATCGATAAGCTATCTAAAGTTAAATTACACGAAAAATGTGCTAAAGAACGAAAAATAATACAGTCAGACGTACAAAATAAAAATAGATTCGAAATTTTTCTTTGAAATATTTCTCTGTGTCAAGATGTTAAAATAAAATTAATTGGATTATTATTACATTTTAAATCAAATTAAAACGATATACATATAGTATTTTTCTTTACATTTCTTCATGATTATGTTATTTATTTTCTATCTTATATTTTAATTAACATTTTAACAAAGGAAGTATTCTTAATTTAATTTAAGTAGCTTGTATTAATTAAGGCTTCTGACATTAGCGTACTTTCCAAGCCAATAATTAATAAAATAAATGAAGGTCAATGGCCTAGTCACGTTGGATTACTAGAGTTCTCCGGCACGATCATTAAAGTCAAGACACGCGGGAATGGTTAGTAATATGGATGAGTGACCCTTTCGGAAAAACAAAAGATAAAAACCGTGTGTTGTTGACTTCCAGAGAAGCGAAAAGAAACGCAACCTTTTTTAACACAATAGTATTGAATTAGTATTGAAGTTTTAACTGAGAGAAATATCGCGAACCTGTAAGTGGGAGAGTTAAAAGACCAATAAAATAAATGTATATTATTATTGTAAGAATGGAATGGACTTCAAAGAATATAATAAAAATATAGAACGAAATAGGTAGTAGGTAGTAGTATCGAATATTCGTGATAAATAAAAAACGGAACGTGTTAAGCGAACACGAGTTAAAAATATGCGTGCATGTATTGTACGTGTATACACATGTTAGAGGAACGATGAAGAGGATAGGGGAGGGGGAGTGTCAGGAAAGGGGTTGGATGATGTCAAGATTAAAGCGGGCTTTATCTCTCGATCGGTGCTCTCTGAAAATGAAGCTAAAGCTGTAAAGAATGATGCTTTCACAGTGAGTTTAGTCGATAAGCTAACCACATGCTTGACTTTAAACCATGGCTTACGGCACCTCCGAGTGGTTTTACCCAACGAAAATTACCCATCCTGTATTATTATACTGTTCCCTCTGTTACGAAAGTGAAATTAATCGTCTTTAGTTACCGTTACCGTGACATGATTAAATACTCGATTTAGATCAATTCATTCACCATGGTTTAACGTACTTAAATACTTAATACTCAACATTGTAGCTAATTTTGCCAATTTCGTGTGTTTTCTTAATACTCTTTTATCTTTACATATTTTTGCAATAGTTGTTTGCAACTATTGTAGAATTAATAGTTGTTATTATACGATAAATACGATTTTTAAGTTTGCACGATTATGTTAGAATTGGGAAATCCTGTATATTATATACTTATCTATCTGTGCATATACATGGTTATGTACTAATCATTTGGTTTGTTTGAAAGCTTATTCTTCGAATGTAAGTTTCCTGCCACATAGAATTTGGATTTCCTTCTTAAAGTCATTAATTATTTCCAAGGAGAAATGGAAGATATCTCACAGAAAGTCGAGAATAACTTGGACGCCTAAGGAAGTATTCGTCGAATTTTGAATAGATTTTCGTTGAGTAGGTCAAGGACAAGATATGCGAAAGAAATTCATTTAGAATGAAGTTCCTATCATCGTATTTAAACCTACATTGTACTCATTCGACTTCTCAGGAATCAACTTCTTAAAAAAGAAAAATAAATGAACACTTTGACTGCCACACTGAATTCACGTGTCACGCTCAAGTAGTATTTTATTATTCAAGATTTCATAGAAATAAATCTTTCATATTCGATGTTCCAATAAAAATTTGTAATTGTCAAATCAAAGTATATTCTAGTTAGTGGTATTGTTCAAAATGAACTAACTGTAAATTTTCATTCAACTTTTACAATTGTAAATGTTCAAGCGCGCCGGTCACCAATGATCACCATGGCGTTACAGGAGAAAACATGGCCGGTCATATACGATCAACGTGGCAATCAAAGTGTTTAAAATCAGTATCAGCAGCTTATAAATTTCGCACTTTTTTTTTGTTTGATTAAAAAAGTAATTAAATTAATTAAATCATTGTAAAAAAAAAAATATAAAAGAAAATGTAAGAACGTTGAAAATAATATGGAACGTTTCATACAATTTGATTAGATTTTCGTGTTTAACCTCGATCAGTTGTTAGTTTGATAAGTTGTTAGAAAATAATGATAGGTGTCTTGAGTACAATTAAACGTTTCGCGTAAATCCAAGGTGTCCGTGTGTGATAGAAGCTTTGTAAAAGGATCTCTAGGTCTCGGTGTTATGGGCTGTTCGTAACATAGTGAGTTTCAGCGAATACGGGTATAGCATTCAAGACGAAACCGCTTAATTTCGAGTTTGTTTCCCTTTCCTCCAGCCACAAGGTACTTACGAGCCTTACCTAAACGTCTCGACATACACAGGACGCACGTTAAGCAGAAACGTAACATTATCTCGAAACAGCTTTGAAGTGGCTCACGGACCTTTCCTCTTCCCTCAGTTTCTCAGGTTTCCATTATTTTCTCTACTTGCTATCTGTCTTCGAGAGAAAGAGAGAGAGAGAGAGAGAGAGAGAGAGAGAGAGAGAGAGAGAGATAGAGAGGGACAAAGAGAAGGATCATGAACTATCGTTCGAAAGGAAATACAACGATTTGACATTACCATATTTTTCTAAATTCAATGAAACGACAACTCAATTTTAGCACTTGCATATGCAAAAGTTGTATTTTTATTTTATTTTAAATAATATATTTGATCAGAAATAAAATTTTCAATTTATTATTCTGAATTTTATTTTCAACCTGTCTCTCGTTTAATTTTTAATTAATTTAAATAAATTCATATTAATATTAGAGTTGTGTGTACGTTATAAATAATATTCAATGTCTGGCAAGCTTTGAAAGATTTAAATTTCAAAATTCATTCCAAACAAATTTACGTAAATTCTATTAAAACAAAAAAAAAAAGGTTAAGAAACACTGGTATAAATTATTTTCAAAGATCATTTTTTACTTACATTAGATAACATTCATCTTTTTCACATCTTCTTCCATATATAGAAACAAACCAGAACGAATTTATATCGTAAATTTAGAAATTCAAATTTTTGTCTTTCTCTTCTTTCTCTTCGTAGAATCGATCGTGTTGTGCTAATCGAGATGAAAAAAACTTATAAATTTAAAGATACTTTAAGAGTAAGATAAAGATATTTGAGATAAATCTGAAATGATTTACAAATGCCGAACGACTAGGACTACTTCTCGGTAAGCGGATCATCCAAGGAAGAGATTTTCTTGAATCCTTACCAAGTCTGGTTGTGATTAATGTACACAAAAGTTCACAGTTTTCTAACCCATCCATTGAAATATGCATCGTTTTATCACATCCTTCCTGTTGGATGGACAACTTTTCTGGATATCAAATAAATTTAGTAAGCTCACATATACATAAATACACCTAGATACACACACACACACACATATCCACATGTAAAATATAAAATAAAACAAGGATGATTAAAAAATATACGTACATCCATTTACTTGTTTTCTCACTTTGTTGGAAAAGCATTCTGCTAATAACTATAATTATATAAAAGAACTTTATTATTCTGGCAAATAAATTGGTCACGTTGCCACTCGGAAGAATTGTGTTATTCTACGTGCTTTGTATATGTATCTAGCGTTAATTAATATTATTCTCGATTGAATAGTTAACGATATTAAAGAGAATAGAATCCTTGAGTGTAGCTTTCGTTGCACGTTTCCTCTAACGTTATTGTACACGAGGACAATTCGAAGATAATTTATAATATAATTGATCTCTTCGTTTGTGGTTCAACCATTCAATTTCCACTATTTTTCAATATAATTCGATAATTAATCTGCCCATGTTTTTCTTCTAAAATTTCTCGAATCGGTAAACAAAATCACTACATTTGTTCATTATTTTCATTTTATAATATCATAAGACATAATAAATTAATAAATTGAAAATATTAAAAAAGCATTTAATATTAATAAAATATTAATTTGTTTGTTCTAATTACAGTACACAGATTGGGAAAAGGTGAAGGATGGTTATGTTAATCAAAGGATGATAGCAGACGTTGTTGGTGACTACTTCTTCATATGTCCATCGATACATTTTGCTCAATTGTTCGCTGATCGGGGAATGAAGGTCTACTATTACTTTTTTACACAGGTATGTAAATCTACGATCGAACATAATTACAAAAATAATAAGAAAAATTAACTTTGATTAGCAAAAAATTGATTTCATAATTTATATTAAATTATAAAATCAAATCTTATGATTAAATCCAGTGTCAGAACGAAACAGTACCAATGCAAACGTAAATCTCTTACGTATCTGTGTAACTCTCGTTGCCCTTGTTTCCCTCATGCGTAATAAAAAGAAAAGATAAAAAGAGAAAGAAAAGAAGAAGGGAAAGAAATAAAGAATGACTTCTGTTCGTATAACATAAGCAAAGATCGATATGACAAGCATTATATTGCTCGGAACGAATACGTCGTGACATTTGAACGACCCGTTGTACTCGTACGACTCGACAAATGACAGAGCGAGCGAGGCTTAGAGGTTTGTTGGGGGATGAGGGTGGTAGATAGGGGTGGATGGTAAGGTTGTAAGAAACTGTGTAGAGATCCACATCGTTTGAAATTAATTTTAAAGGAGCTACCGTCTGTCCCCTGAGCTAACGGAACTAGATAGTATTGTTCAACGCGCTTTCGCTTACGGTACGAGAGTGAGAGAGAAAGAAACAAGCTTTATAACACAACTGTACTATCATATCTACACTAACTCGAACTCTAAAGCTAAGCCTTAGATACAGAAAGCTTCTCTTTTTTATCAAAAGAAACCTCTTCTACGCTAACGTCGACATTACTGCTACCAATGTTCTTCAATTTATGAACTAAGAGAGATACATATAAATGAATGGATTAAGAAAGATTTATATTGCGTTCTTTTCTACAGTTTGTACACTTTCGCTAAAGGTCTTGGAAGATGCTTAGTAACGAGTATATATAAATGAGTATTTTAATAAATTAATACTAGAATTATGTGAATTTCAAGAACTTACACCTTCTGAAGTCATTTGGTTCTATAAATTAGTATTAATACAAGACGAACTCTTGAATTGCGTGTTAAATCAGGCCGTCTGAAACTTTTCCACTTGGCGACTTCCTTAAGTTCAGCAAATATTTTCACGACCACATACTATTTTCTCTTTCACTATCATAAAATCACAGACATACTGCACACGTGTACTGATGTCTACAAGTTTTTGGATTAATTTTCAAATTTGACCTGACGCAACCCTGACGACACAATATAGGGTCGTGATCTATACTTTAAAAAGACCTGTATTTGATGACTATGGTGCTTTATGGTAATTAGATACTTTTATTTTGTTTTTTTGTTAGGTTTAGATGAAAGATATGAGATAGTAAATAAGGAATAAATAGGTCGTTTTAAAAAGATACATGAACATGAATTTGATGATATGAACTGGTTGTTTACGAGCAACATTAGCCTGACGTTGACGCGTTTTTCCAGCAACGAGAAACGATGTACGCTCGGTTACGTGATTATCGGACTCGGTTATGAAGCTCGATAAATCATTTTTCTCAGCTCGAGATGCGAAAACGTTCTTGAGATTATATCGAACGTATAGATAGAAATAAAAAGATTGAGATTACGATAACGAAATTTATTATTATTAGATATGATCATAAAGATAAAAATTAACATAATTTATACAACAATCTAAAGTTAAAAACTGATCAATCTGTTCGAATAATAAAATTAGAAAAATTGGAATAAATTAGGAATAAATCATTTGTGAATGCAGAAATGTGATGTAACATTTAATAAAACATAAAAGAAACTGTAAAATCTTCTAACATTTTCATTTCCACGAGAGAAAAAAGTGTAAACACGGTTGAATATAAATTTTCTAACTCAATGTTTGAGAAAATGACTTTCATCAAATATCAACATTTTGCATAGACACGCGTAATTGTAAAAAACTAAAAATGGTTTGTCGTACCAGAAAAATAATGTCGACAAATTTTGGTTACAAGCGTCTAGTTTTGTCAACGAATTAACAAAAAATTGAAGTAACGCAAAACGGTGTAATCACTAGGATGTTGGATGATGTTTAATTACGATGAACGCGTATGTTTTTTACAATAGTTGGCCTATTTTTTCTTTCTCTCTCTCTCTCTCTCTCTCTCTCTCTCTTATCATACCTTTTCCGTTTGTCCAAAGCATCATGCTTTGGTCTAGTAACAGCAACAGCAGTTTTTTATCCGGGTGAGTTATTCGAGTGACGAATGTCGGCACGCGTCACCGTACGTTACGATACTCTTGTTATGAAAAGCTAGGTTACTACGTGTGGACACTTGGATATACGTAAAAATATCAAACCGAAAGAGAAGAGATGGATAGAACAACAAGAACAACAACAACAATTTATCGCAAAACAACAACAAGAAGAAAACGAGTATTGCGTGTGACAAAGAAGTAAAGATGAAAGAGATTAATATAGCAATCATGATAACTAAACGATATCGACAAAGATAATAAAACTAAAGTATGATTAATAAATAAATGAGCATGGAAAAAATGTATTTAAAATAACGTTTACGCGGATTTATATCAAATTATGATGTTATTAAATAAACATATTATACGAAGAAGATAATAAAATAGAAATAAAATGGATGATAAAGAATAAACGTTAAACATATGATCATTTGTATCGCGTTAAATTGTTCATATAAATAAAAAAAGAATGAAAGTAAATACAAATGAACGAATAAAGTTGCAATTTGAAATAACTAAAAGTACATGAATTTAGAGGGACAATGTAACGCATTAATAATGCAAATGAAAATAATTTAAATAAAGGAAGAAAATGAGAATGAGAGAGAAAGAGTAAAAGATGGAAGAAGAAAAGTGCTTGTTGGTTTGACAATGGTGTGCCGTTAACGCGAACTTTATGAATATTCTGCGTTAGTAAAGAAGTTTTGTATCTTTGTTTAGTCTTGAACGTTATTTTCTAGACGATATTATCATTCGGCGTTGACATCGAGCGTGCATAGATTAACCGACCGAACAAAAAACAAATTAGAAAATGTAATAAAAGTTACAGTATTTTAAACGATAAATTGTTCTAAATAATATCGTTCTAATAATAAAAACTGTTGAATATTTTATAATATTCAAATATATTACAATAAATTATTCATGAAATATACAAAATGGATGTGTAAGTTAGTTGATTGGATTATTAAAAGAGTTGTTCTTTTTGTCTGAATTTTTATCAAGAAATCTATCTCTATTATCTTTGTTAAGAAAATAATAAATAAATCAGTAAGGTAAAAAAAAAGAGAGAGATATATAATACTTAAAAATACAATCCAGGAACGTATCGTTGGAGATTGTGATCTATAGTATTTAAACTGACTCGAGTAACGTTGCGTTGCTCTCGAGCTTTAATTGGTTACCTCCGCTTTCGTAGGGTCAACAACGTTTTTGAACATGCGCGCTTACATCTGCTTATCGGGATGACATCATTGTCCTTGTTTTATACAGTGATACACGTATAGGGAGATATGTGTGCATTATAGAATATCCGTATTAGCATTGTATTTTCAGGAACATATTCTATGATCGAGCAATTACTCTGAAATAAAGTGATCACGGTACGTTACTTAATGTAATTAATTATATCGACAAAGGAATGATACAAAAGTACTAGTAATTCTCTTTCTCTCTTTATTAAGAGAATAACTAAACTTCCTATATCTACTTTAACATTCTATATTCAAACCAACCGACTCGAAACTGCAGTTGATGGAATTATCTCAAAGATTTGTTCTTTTTATACTTTATAACGTTAGGAAAATAAATTCTCTTGAAATATAATTAATTACAGTTTGAAAAAAGAAACTTATAAATATGTTATAAGTATATAAATTAAATTAAGAAACGAAATATTTAAAGTTTTGCTTAAAAAAAAAAAAGAAATAAATTACTTTCCAAAAGATTAGTATTTTTATTTGCGCTATGAGGTTATAGTTCACAAGAATCATAAAAATAAACATATCAAATCTGAAAAATCTAAGAACCAGTTCGATTCAAATAAAAAAATAATGGAAAAGTTAAATGTTCTTTCAGTTGTAAATCAAAGATAGAAAACAATTTCAAGTTCGGATATCTTGTTCACGGTAATATCGTAGAATGCAGATACATGAAAAGAAAATGAAGAAAGTAGACAGTGATATATCGGTGATATACCTGTACATATTTTCATTGGATACGTGTTCCTTTGATGAGATTCGTCGTTATGAATGCACGTTCTAGTAGTTTTAGGAAAGAAAGAGAAAGATAGAAATATATAAATATATGAAAAGGTTGAATGCACAGTTGAATTTGTAGTTGTTCGGTAAGCTTTTTCACATGGACGATAGGTGATCGATAGACTCGAGTGTGTTATTCTCATCGAACGGCATTTCACTTTGCTACTTTTTTATTTCTTTCATTCTCGTTGTTGTTAGTTCCAATCATCCACGCAATCGTCTCTATTTCCTTTACCTTCTTTCTTTCTGTATTTCTGTCTCTTTATCTTCGTTGTTTTTATTCTTTTTTATATATGTTGAACGTGAAAGAAATAAGAAATTATTTGGAAAATGAAACCTGACGTTTGTTTTCAAATGTAAAACATTTTTTTACAAATCTCACCGATATGACAACTGCTAATTTATTTTATTTAAAGTAAAAAAAAAAAATATAAAATTTATTTGTTTTGTTTTTTTTTTGTCAAATAAATAAAAATTGATAGGACAAAAAGAAATATACGAAAATAAAATGAAAAATAGTATGGGAAAGCTTTAAATAGTAATTTTCGACTTAAATTTAAAGTCGAAGAGCAACGCGTGGCCCGTAATAACGTGACTCGTATGTTACGTCTCGCATGGTAAAGTTCATGAGCTTTAATTACGTATAATCTCTGTTATCCAAGATTTATACGGCTTTAGCCGAGGTGCAAATTGCTTTTTTCTCGGGGGCTTAGCGCGCCAGCGAGGATTGAAAAACGTGCGCACGAATTTGTGTTAGAGAGATAGAGAAAGATGACGGATAAAGTGGCCTCGCGTTACGCGGAATGTGGAACAAGA